GGAGAGAGGGAGAGAAGGGGAGTGGAGAGGGGGAAAGGAGGGGAGAAGGGGAGGAGAAAAGGAGAGGGGGAAGGGCTGGAGGAGAGGGGGAGGGGAGGAGAAAAGGAGAGGGGGAGGAGAGGAGAGGAGAGGAGAGGGAATACAATGGGAGGGCCATCACAGTTGTGACTGCTCATCTCACCGAAGATACATGCCCCATGCAAGCTCGTGATGCTCGGGGTTCTTGGAGGCTGCAAGACATTCGATGTACGTGTTCATAAGGTCCGATCCCGGCTGAGGGAAAGATTACTGATAGTGAAGAGGAGAGGAGACAGGACAGGACAGGACAGGACAGGACAGGACAGGAGACAAATGTAGAGCAGGCAAGCAGCAAGCGAACAAGCACCTGGAAGTTAAGCTCTATCATTCTTTCGTAGCACTTGATGAAATGTCACACTTATTGCCAACACGTTTATGGTTCACCATCAGCGCTCTTGAATACTTCTTGCACTCGAGCAGGCAGGAGACGAGCCTGACGTCAAGTCAAACACAACTAGCTCAGATCAAAGGAACTTGTACAGCGAGTGACTCTGATTGTCAGCCTCCAGGCTCTCCTCCTCCTCCAGCAGGTCGAAGACAGCAAGGCAAGAAGCTGGGGGGGAGCTGGTCAGGGGCGAGGACAGGAGCTGAGAGAGTACAGGAGTCCTTGAGCACGCGGAAGCCTCTCCTGCCACTGCTCGTCAGCCCCAGCAACTGGGAGGTGTCGATGCCTTACAGGCAGAAGTTGAAGAAGTCGATGGTGGGTCGCCTCGCCCTCGGAGCGATCTGAATGAACTCCTTGACTATCGCCAGACACTCCTCGCTCGACCCTGCGCGAAACCTGCCAAGCGATTACCTGCAAGTTGAGCCCCCCTCCCCTCCCCTCGCACTCCTCTCCTCTTCTCTCATTAACTCTCGTCTCCCCCTCCTCTGTCTCTGCTCTGCTCTCACCCTGCACCAACAAGCTCCAAGTAAGATTCCGCGTTGGCTCGCTGCGGGCCCATAGCAAGTCCATTCATCGCCTCCTGTGCGAACACAAACGCGTCCATCTGCCGCCTAGTCAGCGTCTCAAGCCACGTGCGAGCAGCGGACCTGGCAGAGGAGGCTGACGAGAGCATGGCGGTGAAACGTGTCAATCTTGATGTCTCGTTGCTGGATGCAGTCGTACACTGACGAGAAGGGATAAGGGAGCATGCGGGTAAGAGAGGAGGGAGCGGATAAGCGAGCATGCGGGTAAGAGAGGAGGGAGCGGATAAGCGAGCATGCGGGTAAGAGAGGAGGGAGCGGATAAGCGAGCATGCATGTCCAGACCTTGAAGGATCTTGTTGGGGCTGCTGCACTCGGTTGCGAGGTCGATCAAGTCATGGCAGATCCCAGTGTTGGCGCCGACCCGCGACTCGAGGCTGCTGGCGAAGACTGAAGGGGGTGAGGGAGGGAGAACATGCGGGTAGTCGGGACCTTGAAAGCTCTCGTCCACCCTCCTCTCGATGGATAGCGAATGGATCAGCCTTGCCGCCCTGCTGAGATTGAGCGGGTGACCTGATATGAGCGGGGTGAGGAGATAAGCGAGCGGGAGTAGAAATGAGCTCATGGCGGGGGCTAGAGGGAGAGGGAGAGGGGGAGGGAGAGGGAGAGGGAGAGGGAGAGGGAGAGGGAGAGGGAGAGGAGAGGAGGAGGAGGAGGGAGGAGGGAGGAGGGAGGGAGGAGGGGAGGGAGGAGGGAGGAGGGAGGAGGGAGGAGGGAGGAGGAGGAGGAGGAGGG